AGATTCTCAAAACCTTGAAATTTTTTTTTCATGGATTATCGTTTTCCTATCGTTGCATTTGTTTATCTGACATATGAACATCAATTTCCTGAGATCTTTGACTGATCTATAAACAGCTTCATGTTCTATGTTTTGTCATATTACATGGACAGATATCAAACAGAAAATATTCTTTAAAGTTTGCATAATGATCTTTCTAGCCATCTATCCATTGAGGGTGAACTATTACGAAAGTTATGAATATTCTTGTGCAATGTTCAGTAAAAAACTCAATAGATGAAAATGTTCCTTGTCACAATGGATCTGACCACCAACTTCTGCCCTCAATTTCTTTGAGAAATGGGGAAAAAATGGATAGATGAAAAGGTGATTAATGAAAATTATTCCTTGTAACGTCAGACGATTTTGGAGGCTTCTAAATGTGATACTGGTTTCTCTTCTTGGTAGAGTTTGGGGTTTCTCAAAACCAAGTCTCCTCTAATAATAAAGAGCTTAAACCTGAAAGTGAAAAAATAAAGACAACTAATAACAAAGAACTTAAACCTGAAAGTGAAAAAATGAAAGTGTTGCCTTCGTTGTCTATTGATGCGCTCCAAGAGATTGGAAAAAGATGCAGATCCAATGTATATGTTACTAGCAAGAAAAAATGTCAAATAGCATTTATTCTTTTCCAGGTTGATCATAATGTGTCTTCTTGCTCGTGTTGAATTTAAGTTGGTGACAAGCACCAGTAATGATTTGCAGTTCTCAGTAGAGGTTAATATATTAAACTTTTACATATTGGATTTTCTCTATTCAAAATGATTATGACTAGCAGATACGGGCTTTAGCAACAGAGCTTCTTAGGTGTTCTGTTGCTTGTTGATTTTCTGGGAACTCAGTATTTGAAGTGTGGTTTATGATTGATATTCATCTGTTTTGATTTATATTGGTTTTTTATGATGAATAACTTTCCATTTTGTTTCTAAATTCTTTTTTGTTTATTTTTGTATTGGTCGTTTAAACTTTCAATTTTTCTATTGAAGAAATTTTGCTAAATAAGATTTAATCAGTGATGTTTTCAAAAATAACCAAAAATCAGTCAACGCTATTACGTAACTAATTATACTACAGCACGTGCGTTTATAACGACTATATTTTCAATTTTAATTAAATTTTAAATTTAACCAAACATGCTCTAAAAGATTCTTCAGATCATATTATTATTTTTATTTTTTTTTGGCAAATTCATGATGGAATTGGAAATCATAGTATCGTCTTTCGTTGTTGATTGTGGTAGGTTGTTTGGCTATATTTTGAATGATATATTATTGAAAATTCATCATTGTTGAGAGATCATCGTTTTCGTTGATTGAAACTNGTAGAGATTAAAGTTGAAAAATTAGCAATTATTGTTGACCTTTATTAGATAAGTGAGACCCAATAACGACTATATTTTCAATTTTAATTAGATTTTAAATTTAACCAAACATGCTCTAAAAGATTCTTCATATCATATTATTATTTTTATTTTTTTTGGCAAATTCATGATGGAATTGGAAATCATAGTATCGTCTTTCGTTGTTGATTGTGGTAGGTTGTTTGGCTATATTTTGAATGATATATTATTGAAAATTCATCATTGTTGAGAGATCATCGTGGTCGTTGATTGAAACTTTATCATTTTTCACTCTTAATTTAAAGAAATGACCGAATTTTATGCTCTAAATTTTTTTGCTTAAAGCTCCAAAACTAGTTGACTCGACTCTATAAATAGGCCCAACATGACTAGACATGTTAAATTTAAGACTCTTTCTTGCAATATTAAATTTTGACTAATTAAAATAGTTATTCTTCCTCGCAAGTAAATTATTTAAATTTAACCCAACATGCCCTTACAGTACAAAAAATTTCTAGAAAATCCATTTACAGGATAAGGTTGCATTGACTATTGACAGGCCAAATGGAGGACAAACACCTCCCCCATTGGTTGGTAACGTTACAACATTTTAAAAAGACTTTTAATATAAAATATTATCTATTTCAAAGAGTCGACACTTAAAATTATGTTCCAAAAATTCTTTAAATTAATAATTTAATCTGGAGAGTATATTTTAGAGAGTCAAACTCACTCTTTATAATTAAATACACTCAAAGTATTTCAATTTTCAATGAAAAAATAATAAGATAATTTGGATTGGAGCTAATGAAAATTAAAAATGGAGAAAAATAATAAATATTTTTCGAAGTAACGTAATTAAGTGTTAAATATAAAAAGTATGATAAGTACCTAAAAAATTTTACTTTCTAAGTCTTTGTCTGTTTCCAATTTTTAGCCAATTTTCATTGCTTCTCGGACATTTGGAATGGCTTGCAGCCGAAGTCTTTGACTTTCTATCTCTATATGGGACCCATTCGATGGAAAAAAAGGGTCAGAAATAATTTTTTTGGGATAAAAAATGCTATCCCAGATAAGTCCTAAATTTATTGATGCCTTTTAAATGTGACATAATGGTTGACAAAATAAGTGTTGGCAAGATGTGATTGGTTGAAAAAGTTGACTAAATTTTAAACAATCCAATAATATGTTGCCACGTGACATTATATCAATAATTATGTCAACCATTATGTTCATGTAGTATGATTCTTTCTATAAATAAAAAGACTTTTAAAAATGGTCCCAAGTCTCGAGCAAATAGAGCATTCCCCAACTAATCATTCTCGCAGATTTAAGTAGAACGGTAGTTTTCGTTATCATTAATTAGAAAAAGATGTTGACAATTCCGAGCTTGCGGGATAAGAACGGATGACAACTGGGCTATTTGTACTTGTTAATGGCCCATAGGACGCAAGGTAGGCGCCCATAGTCCCACAAAACCAGAAATAAGGGGCCCGCTTTGGTTTTTGCTTGTACCGGTTTCCAGAAAACCAGGAGCAAGTGCAGGTTAATTGGGCCCCATTCCATACCAGCAATTAGGCCCTTTGACTTCCAAGAAACGTGGCAATTCGACCGCATCCTGACACCTTCATGTGGTAACCACGCGCCTCCCATTTTATTCCCATTTGCATGTCACCATACACAACATGGCTCCTCGATCCTCTTCCCGTGGCACCTTTCGTTTCATAAACCCAAACAAATAAATCGTAATTAGACGATAAAATTAACTTCAAATTTTTACAAGTCTCAATGGATAAAATTATAATTTGAGATTAATCTCAAAGTCAATCTTATTAAGAAAAACAAACCAAATTATTATATATTAGTCAATATTTGGTTTGAGAACAATGTTGTCCGATATCATAATATTTGAATTTCATCTTAAAAAGGTATTCAAATCCTATTTTTAGCCTTTTATACACCACATGCTACAATGAGTTCAAAAGTTCAAATTTCTCTAATTATTAATTATAAATTGTGAATCTTAGTATTACATTGAACATCGTCGTCGAATTTAGATAGCATTATTCATAGTATCAATAATAATAATAATAATTGATATGGTCATTTTTTGATCAGCCTCGAACAACAATGTCTGAGGTTGTTTCGGGTCATCTTAGAAGTTTTCCCAAGGTATCCTCCTTGGGCTCCATGTCACCTCAATTTTTTATCAGTGTCCCCTTCTATATTTCAAAAGACATACTCTAGTAGAATTCAGAATTCTACTTCCATCTTCAAACTTATCCAACTCCGATAAAACTGGATTCTAACTAACTTACATCTTCTACTCATATTGAAATGCTCAAGCCCATTATATCTCTTAAATCTTTAAGGTTTCAAGTATCATAATCCTATCAAAAGTGTGTTACTTACCTCTATAAATACAAGTTCTAATTCATTATTCGGATATGTATTTACATTCGATTTATAACCATACACTTATATTTCTCCATTTCGCTAACTTAAATGTCGGAGGGGCGACGAGGACAGACCTCGACACCTTCATTTCAGGTATTGAAAATCAACGATATTCAAGCATCAAATTCGAGATCTAGCAGGTACAATTTTTTGGTAACATCAATAATAATAATACAAGAATGCTTTTAAGATAATGTTTGGTGAGGATTAAAATCATATTTTTAGTAGATTTTCGACAGAAGTTGATGAAATGTGGGATTAAAAAATTGTAAGACTCATAAAATATGTAATTGAAATGAATTATTATTTTTGATTTAGATTAAAATCTAGATTTTAACACATATCAAATAGGAGTTAAAGTGAAAATAAATTCACTTCATTAACAATGTAATAATTACTTTACAGCTCCATAGATAGAGTATTAAACTTTATCCGTTCTAGCCCTTGTTTGATGAGAATTAAAATAAGATTTTTAATAAACTTTGATTAAAATTGATGAAATATATGACTGAAAAGTTGTAAATTCCATAAAATATATAATTAAAATTAACTATTCACTTTGATTTAAATTAAAATCTTGTTTGTCTCCCATTTTTTCAAATTTTTTTTTTCTACATACTCATTTCAAATCATATATTCATACAATAAAATATTTTACACGTAAACCTAAATTTTTTTCTACATTTATCGTACATTCTCCAAAACAATCACGGTTTAAAATACTAATATTTTTCCAAAGAAGGCCCGCCAACGGAGCCGGTAACATTTATCAAGTTATTGCCATTGATTGGAAGTTTTCAAGGCGAGGTTGGCATTGATTTTCACGCGTTACGAACGGAAGTAAACAATACTTGTCGTTTCATGGTTTGACGTTAATAAGAGGATGAATATTCTAATGAAATTCCGAGGTGGTGCATCCCCCAATTCCACGAATGTGGAAACCCGGTATTCTCAAAACACCACGCTGTATCCGCGTTTGTTACTCAAAAACTGCATGCGACCCTGGTATCTATGCATCCCCATCCTCTCTCGCTCACCATATAAAACATGCGACTTTCTCCATTCACAACACACACAAAAAAGTATCATCCACCCACAAATTGCTAATTCCTCTGAAGTTTCCAAAAACGTATAGACTGAAAATACTTGATCAAAGCAAATTAAAATGCGGTTGAGCTGTAATGGATGCCGAGTCCTCCGTAAGGGATGTAGTGAAAACTGCAGTATCAAACCCTGCCTCCAATGGATCAAAAGTCCCGAATCCCAAGCCAACGCCACTGTCTTCCTTGCCAAGTTCTATGGCCGCGCCGGCCTCACCAACCTCATTAATGCCGGTCCTGAACACCTCCGTCCTGGTCCGTACCCATCTCTACATATGCGTTTATATTTATGATTTTTTTTCCTTTCTGAATTTTAACAATTTTTATCGAATTTTAATGCAGCTATATTTAGGTCTCTACTATACGAGGCGTGTGGGAGAATTGTGAACCCAATATACGGGTCGATCGGGTTGGTGTGGTCTGGAAGTTGGAATCTGGTACAGAACGCAGTAGAGGCTGTTCTTAAAGGGAATCCGATAACCCAGATAGCATCTGATGCCGCTGAGACGAAACATGGACCTCCTTTTAAGGCATATGATTTAAGACATGTGAATAAGAATGAGAACTTCGCCGGTATACACGGTGTCCGGAGCCGGTGCCGGTTCAAGCGATCGGGTGGGAAGTCCAGGGAGAGGCGGTTGTCAGTCGGGTCGGGTCGTGAGGATGTAAACAGGTCTCCTAGTCATGAGTCTTCGTTGAGCCACCAGTCCGAGGCGGCTGTTGATAATGACTGCAGGGAGAGTGAAAATTTGGCTTCCGTTGGTCCCGCCGAGTTGGCTCATTATGATAATAACCGAGTCGATGAAGGTGAGATTGAGCTGGAGCTGACTCTTGGAGTTGAACCAGTTAAACCAAAGGGGATGCCAAAAGAAATAAAACTGAATAAAGTCGTTGACTTGGCTGAGAAAGATGGTGGAATGTATAGAATGGAACTGGGACTGCCGGAATTTTGAAAGATGAAAGAGCTTAATAATAGGGTTTTCATTGGGTTGGGTCGGTTTTGGGCCAAACCCGACCCGACCCACAATTATTTTAATTTTTTTTTATCCGACCCGACTCGGAATTAAATCTAAACCTACCCAACCTGACCCGAAACCAGGTCGATTTTTCGGGTTATGCGTTTCAAGCCCAGTCCTAGTCAAGCTTACTGTGAAAGAGACTGGCATTATTCTTCCCACTATTTCCTCCTTCACCAATAGATTAAACTTTAAATCACAACAATACTTTAACAAATGCAGTAAATATCATGAAAAAAAATCATGATGGTTACTCATGCCAAGCCCAATTTCTGAATAAAAATAAAATAAGTAGTTATAGTATTTTGCTAAAAGAATGTTTTGAATTTCGTACCTTGGAGATAGAGCAAGAATAATATTTCCTATACCGCTCATACCAAGATCACAAAGTCTTCCACCTATCTTGCTTTGAGCAAGATCATTTTTCATAACAAATTCCAAATGAAGCATCAGGTCAGTCGTATTGAAACAAAATTTACCCTCCACAATTAGTAAAATGCCAAGCTTCTTGAAAATGAAGAATAGTTTGGCCATTTCCTTCCACCAAAACAATGAAACGAAACTAGATCTGGATCTGATTTCTCTTTTTATGGTAGCAAAACCATGTTTTCCAGGTTGTAGCCTTTTGAGAATCGTGATCAGTTGTCCATCCTGTCGAAATAACAAGTTTGGATTGTTGGTATACTCGTTTAATTAATACATCACTTAAGAGTAAAATAAGCAGTAATACTTCATTAAGTAGGGGTGGGCAAAATACAGATCTGAGCATCCTTTATCTTATTTTTTAACAATCGTAAGGCTAGTCGAACCAGAACTGACCATTTTGGTCCAGTTCTGTTTTCCCCACAAGTGGCTCACTTCAAAAGAAAAAGTAAACTAAGATCCGAGCACGATATTAGCAGTTTCTTTACTATTCCATGATTAACCAAACAAAAAATGACAGTTAACTGGATCATAAGGTGAGGATCAGATAGTACAAGAAAACGAAAATCCTTGCATCAGTTGACTAATACAAAAGAAATTCATACCATACCAAATCTGTGATACGGGGATCGCACAATATTAAAGCTTATATGTAGAAATCTTTAAAAAAAAATCACCTTTTTAACAGTCATCCAGAAGGAAAGAAATATTTT